TAGCACGAAGGTAAATACGTTTATCAGTTTGGTGAACCAGACTGCCACAGGCATTGTGCTCAGAGACCAACAGATTCGAACCCACGACTAGTGAATCCTGCAATGGATAAGGGGTCGCAACTCGTCACTATGCAGAGTGGTGTCCCTTGGTCGCACCAGAAACCGATGATTGTTGCTTCATATCCCTAATGTCTTTCTTAGTCTTCATAGTATATTAATGCTAATGTGTTTCACCTTCCACCTGCATACTTTCGGGCTTTCCTCAACATGAAGAGTACAGACCCTCAAGTAACTGGAACACTGTTAAAAGCGGGTACCGACCAAAAGCCCGTCGACCTAAAGCCCCTCTCAAAAACATCCCTCGCTAATTTGAGCACCCCTGTCAAAAGCCCCTCGATTCATGTATTTCATAAAAGAATGAAAAATTCTCACTGCTCTTCTATATTGTATATAGCATTTTAACAAAAAAACGATTTTTATATTTTATAAGGAATAATGAACTTTTCTCATTGCTCATATATATTTATAAAGTATTTTGTCGCATCAATGTAAAGGAAATGGAGACAAACCTATAAAGGAAATTGGTATTTTGCAAAACAAACATTTCTCACAGCCAAACTCAGGCTTTCCCATATCATTTAGAATCATTATGTTATGATGCATATATTTCATGTCATTAATTATTTCTTGTCTTTAATCATATTTTTCCATTAATACATAACGTGAGGGGCTTTTGGTCATTTATCGAGGGGCTTTTGTCCAGAGGGGCTTTTGGTCGAGGAGCTTTTGACCTAGACTCTTAAAAGCCACGTTATACTCAATTCCCTCACTCCTGTATATAAGCAAAGAGTGAGTCAGTATCATATGATACTGTCATGTTTGTTAAATATCACAAATAAATAATAATAATTACAAACTGACGTTAACAAAACAAGCAATAACATTCTTTTCACGTATTTGATAACTGTATCATCGGCGAGATAAATAAATCCCAGTGTCATATAGTACTGTTTTTTAAATAACACCAATACAAAAACCTCAATGAAACTTGTAAGGCTTTGGGTAACAAAATGTTATAAGAGCATTTCTTTCATTAGGAAAACATGCCATAGTATGATTTTAACTTTGTGATGGTTGTTCAATTCATTATGCAACAATTAATGGATTGTCCCTGTCGCATGTAAAAACAGTTCAAAATGTCAAGATTGAAGCTTGTCAAATCATGCCACGATCAGTCAGGTAAATAAACACTGTAACACAACCATTCTGTACTTGACTGGTTGTGACTGGGAGAGACACGGCTTTGTTATTCCACGGTAGTGAAATTAACGAGGGATTAACAGTTAATCCCGGCTAATCTTTGGAGTGCTGAGTATCAATAAGCGTAATTAGCAATTAGCAACTAATTAGCGTGAAGTGAGAAACAATATATGATTATCAATGCCAGATGTCTGTCTTTGGTATACATTGTACGTGTACGACAGTGATTCAAAACAACGTATTCCATTAGTTCGTATTAAAAATGTGTTCTCTTCTTCGTATTCCTGATGTTTTATTAATGAAAATGGAAATACAATTGGTTAGTATATCCGGGTTTTTTTATAGGAAAACAGGATGAAAAATATGTTTTTTAAAAAATAAATGAAATGATATTCAGCTATGTCAGGTAACTAGGGAAAAGGTACCCATTTGCAAATAGGGTTGAAAATATAACACCTTCCAGGCTGAAAACAGTCCAACGTTGTGAGATATTTTTGGATATGATGCATTTAATATCGCTATGATACCCGTGTCAAACGCATCATTAGAGGTAGCTATTTCTTTTTAGCTTCTTTTTTAGCCCCCGTCAGTCAAACGTTGATGTATGCCTTCATAGGCGGATCCAGAGGGGTGTGCAGGGGGTGCTTCTCCTCTCTCTCTTGTGCTGTTGGTTTGTTAAATGACCATTGAAACTCAGGTAAAAATGAAGTGTGCACCCCTCCTTTTCTCTATAGTGTGCACCCCCCTTTCTCAAAAAGCTGTATCCGCCCCTGGCCTTGCTTGTCCGGTAGTTAAATACTCCGGAGGTATATGTCCCCAACCGTCTACCCTTGTTATACAGTGGATATGGGATAGTCAGTGGTTGATTGTACGTCATCGTACGTACACTGACGAGAGTGGTGCTCATGACATCACTGGTTTGTTTGTCCAGAATCGAGGTCGCACGTTTTTCACATTGTCCTTTGTGAAAAAGAAGGGGCACGCTTGGCAATTATCAGTTAACACACAAGCGTTTAAAGTAGGAAAAAGTCAAGTGTTTGACATTTGGCAGTCGAGTTGTTATGTTCAGTGATAAATGAGATAATTGTTGTGTTGTAGCATTGCTTTTATCAGCTTATTATGGCGAACACAAATTACGTAGTTATTATGCCGTTATGCTACAGTGTTTCATAACTTCGTACATTTGTTTGCACACCCATTTACAAAATCTGGATTTATTCTCTGGGTCTGACTCTTCCACAGCTCCATGGAGTACCTTCAAGTACACATATATACGATTTTGCTTGATTCATACTGCCTGTATGTACCAACAGGAACACTAGAGGGCTTCATGGAATTCCACGCCGCACGAAAGCAATTATCTTATTACAAAATACATTGAGAGTATACGGACTCGCTTTTAATATTATAGCGTTACAATGTTAGTCTTCTGTCATACAGACCTGAAACAAATTTATCCAAGAAAGCCCATGCAGGTCTAGAATATGTGTCAAGTCTGGATTTCTACTGTTTCTGAAAACGAAGAAAGTTTCTGGGCTTCATTATATTTTATGAATATTTTATATGAACCGTTATTCTGTGAAATACGTTCTTATTTCAGAGGATAGATGTTAGTCTAATATGTGTGATTCTTGCTTGCCTGTATCTACCAACTCGAAACCTTGAGGGCATCATGAGATTCCACGCTGTATTAAAGCGATTTTTGTATTACAAAATACATTGAGATTCGCTTTTAATACCATAGCGAAATGTATATTCCCGGTCACATGGGTATATTACTTGTCCTCAGTTATAATAATTACTCATTAGTCAAGGTATGATTTGTTAGTAAATTATGATTTACAAACTTGCATTTCACGAATACAATACATAAAGTATGCTTCAATATTCAAAACTTAATTTTCAGTCGGGTCTACATAGTTATGCAATATGGTGTAATAGAAAAAAACTGTTTACATTAAGCATTTTATCAATGAAATATACAATGGTTGTAGATCCTGATAAGAGCGGCTCGTGTTTTCATTAGGAAATAAAAAAGTCCTTATCTGATAATAGTGCTTTGAAGATAGCCGTTTTGCACGATCAAAGAGACCGACTTAATTAAAACAATAATAGGCGCTCAACATGTTGACAGCGTTGATTACCGTCACCGTGTATAATAAAAGTTAAAAATGTAAACATTATATATTTGAAAACTCGGATAAATCCGAGGTATTGTTGGAATCCTTATAACGTATAACAAGAGAGAGCAAATAATCTCTATAAATATTTAACTGTCGTATTTACAACTGCATTACAATTAAGAGGACATATTACAGCTGTTTCATAAAAGTAACCCACATTCCATTATAAATCCCATTTAATATGTAAACCAAAGTATTTAGTAAAATAAAAAAATAAAACATGAAGAAATTACTTCGGGGTCTTTGATTAAGGTGTGCATTTCGACCATGACATTGTTTCGGAAGAATTGTTCAATGAATGTTTTGCCCGTTAGGTGTCAGAGGTAGAAATGGCCCCCAACAATAACAAATAGATCGGGCGGTCAGGCCGGGTGATTTTATTCTTCTAACTCAAAATAGTTGCTCAATAAATCAATCATACGATTGTCTGGCCCCAACTCGATAATGTTGAGTGCAGCCTCAATCAACAAACAACAACAAAAATAATATTCAAATAATTTGTGTTTTGGAGTTCTTTCTTCGCCACCTGAATGAAGTTCTTTTGTATATTCGATAAAGCTACTTCGTTGAGTCAATTCTTAGATAATTACACCACAAAACATAAACTGGTGTAAACTGATTGTTTTGCGAGATTAGGTGTGTTGTGTTTTTTAGAGCTAAATTCATAAAAGTTATGAATACATTTTAAATGAAGTAGGCTATTCTGTGTGTAGCTATATTTATATACCGTTGGGAACCGTACATGTTCACTGACAACTGAAATATTGATATTTTTTGCACAAAAGAATAGACTGTTATTTATGTATTATTTATTTCTTTCCCATCATTTCAGTCTCAAATAGTAACAGACAGATCTATGGTTCTGCATCTGGTAAGGGACTAGCCACAAACAGTTTCCCATTTCTTTTCAATTATTCAACACAGAACACAACAGACTCCACGTTCGTCTTTCCAGCAGTCGAGCTATTTGTTGTTACACCTGTGTGTAAACTGCGTATTGAGGGCACATCCGTCCCCAATCGGGGAAAATAGATGTGTATAGAACCCCCGAGACAATACACGTCCTATCAAAACGTGTATACTGGGGTGCGTGGGGTAGATTAAATAGTAATCAACCACCGTGACCTCCACTAGCTGATTCATTCATGCATGAATTGTGCAGAAATATTCGTCCAAGCTGTGCTTTCAAAAAACGCTCCAAATATACCTGGGATATAAAACTGTTTAAGTTTTGTCAGAGTTTTGTGAAGAATCAGCAACATTTTCATTAATGTGTCGGTAGAGTGCATGCAGCGAATCATTATCGCTGCTTCGGAGTCAATAGTCCGCGCATAATATTCAATCGCCCTTGAAAAATATGGCATTTACAAACGCTGGAGGAGAAAGGAACAGCCACTCGTGGGTTTTAGCCAATCGGTGCGATCCTGGCGGCAGTGCTCTCCTTTCCATTGGTGAATCATAGGTCACCGGTTTCTAGTTGCCCCACTACTAGTCACGCCTTTGTTACAGAACGGGCATATGGAATTTGGGGCTCCTAGAAACCGCTGAGCTTAGTTGTCTGTTTGAAAGTGGCCTCACAAAGGCAGCCATGTTTCGCTAGGAGCGAGTTAGATCGTCGAGAACGGGGATTTTACGATTGCCATGAATCGAAGACGGTAAGGTATTGAGCTGACCTACACCACACTCGGATATATTCGAGATTACCCGTATACGACAGTGTGCTTTCAAATATGGGGAAGTTCCGATCTTTGAAGAAACTGTTGTTAGAAGTCCTGCTCGTATGTTGTATGCTGCAACATGGAGGCCGAGTTGACTGTCAGCAATCTCAGTACACAAGGATCACAGACCAGGCCTTGGCGCCTCACGGCAAGTGCGAACCTATCACTATACCTCTCTGCAAAGACATTCAGTATAATGAAACTATTATGCCGAACTTGTTAAACCATCAAAAACAGGACGATGCAGGCCTAGAAGTTCACCAGTTCTTCCCTCTCGTCAAAGTTCAGTGCAGCCAGCAGCTGAAATTCTTTTTGTGTACAATGTACGTTCCGGTGTGTACGGTTCTGGAGGACGCTATACCCCCGTGTCAGTCCCTGTGCAACCAGGCAAGGACTGGATGTGAAAGCCTCATGAACAAATTCGGATTTCAGTGGCCCGAGAGTTTGAAGTGCGAGAAATTCCCAACCTCGGGTCTGTGTGTAGGAGAAAATAACACCGAACCAGAACAAACCTCAAAACCTACTCCGACGGGCACCGACTACCCGATTCATCCTGGCGGGGGAGGATTGCATTCGTCAGGGAAGAAGAATGATAATGTCACAAGAGATCTGGGATTCCGTTGCCCCTTGACTCTGAAAGTACCAAAAGGGTTCGATTACAGGTTAAAAGTCGGCACACAGCCGCCTGAGCGGGATTGCGGGGCCCCTTGTCATGATATGTTCTTCAAACCTGACAATCGGGAATTTGCAAGATGGTGGATTGGAGTCTGGTCGTGTATTTGTCTTGCCTCAACACTCTTCACGGTGCTGACATTTCTCATTGACATGCAGAGATTCCGGTATCCAGAGAGGCCTATCATTTTCCTCTCGGGCTGCTATTTCATGGTAGCCCTGGCTTATGTTGTAGGCTTTGCTCTGAGGGAGAAAGTGTCTTGTAATGAACCTTTTGATCCACCTAATGATGAAGCATCTTTGAAAATGGAACCAATAATCACCCAGGGAACGAAGAAAGAAGGTTGCACAATTCTGTTCATGATGTTGTATTTCTTCAGCATGGCAAGTTCAATTTGGTGGGTAATTCTCACACTCACCTGGTTTCTTGCAGCTGGAATGAAATGGGGACACGAGGCAATTGAAGCAAACTCTCAGTACTTTCATCTTGCAGCATGGGCTGTACCAGCCATCAAGACCATTGCCATTTTGGCCATGGGGCAAGTGGACGGCGATGTCCTCAGCGGTGTGTGTTTCACGGGCATATTTGATGTGGATGCTCTCAGAGGATTTGTGCTAGCACCTCTTGTTGTGTACTTAATAATTGGAACATCTTTCCTCCTAGCTGGATTTGTATCTCTCTTCCGTATTCGTACCATCATGAAGAGTGACGGCACCAAGACTGACAAGCTTGAAAAGCTCATGGTGCGAATTGGAATATTTTCAGTTCTGTACACTGTGCCAGCAACAATTGTAATAGCGTGCTACTTCTACGAACAATCCTTCAGGGACCAATGGATGGTGACTTGGCATGCTGGTGTGTGTGAAAAGTATAAGTTTCCGTGTCCATATGGAGTCACTTCCAAACCATGGCCAGATTTTAATGTATTCATGATCAAATACCTCATGACCGTGATAGTTGGGATTACATCAGGGGTGTGGATCTGGACTGGTAAGACCTTCCTTTCATGGAAACAGTTCTATTGCAAAATCTTTTCACCCAGAACAAATGAATCCGTAGTGTGATGTTCTAGCCAAAAACCAAATGGTGAAAGACAATAAAAGGACGGGGCTATTCCTGTTTTGACAGAGGCTGGGCAGTTGGGAGGCTGGGTATGTGATGGATGTGGTGCAGTGATGCAGTGCATTTCAGGCCTCCCAACATGGAGAGAGGAACAATGAATCAGTGCTTACAAGTGATAATGAATGAGTGGATCTATAGAACATTTCCATGATCCCTCATTGTTAAACAGTGCTCAGCCTGAACTTAAACGTTAGCGTCCAAAATGGTGCCATTCACATGACGGGTCAATTAGACAATTTTAAAGATTTTGGACATCTTGCAAAATCAACATACTTTTGACATGCAAGACGAGTATTTATGTCCTCCATCCCAGCATTCTGGGAATCTTGAACAAATGTGGATGTGAATTAAACAGTATTTATGTATTATACAAGTGTGAATCTTGAAGATTCCCCTAGAACACCAAAGCTTAGCCTTGTCTGTGAACAAGCTGAATGCTAGCTGAATCAAGGATTTGAAGAGGTTTTTCTCGACTGTATATCTGTGATTGGTTGTTTTTAACAATGCAAAATTGCTCGGAATTCTAAATTAAATTCAGACAGTTCACATTAGTGACGAATCAAGAGTTGTGCACAAATCCTATGCTTTACTGTAGAATTTACATTGTGTAAGGTTGTGTAGGCAAAGTACTTTAAATGATCAAATTGTGGATTTTAGTTACCATGGAAACTACCATTATTCGAAAAGGATGGTCACATAAAGTGTGGTTGGAGAGTGAGTGGAGAGATACTGTCTTTCTCTCATGTAAATATATTTTGTAAGAACCACATTTCTATACTTCCCCCTGTAGCTATATGCTTGTTAAGTTTGTGTACATGTGTATGTAGAATGAGGAAAGTAGTGTTTTTTAGTTCAAAATTTGCCAATTAAAATTTGTAGTAATTCTAACAATGTTTTATAGTTTTGTTTTTAGGTCAAACTGAAAATCAGTTCTCTGGTTTACTCTGATATAAATGCATGTTATTAAGTTATAAAAACATCCATAGTATACTGTATATTGTATAGTGGATAATGAAAATACTTTAAATAGTTACACTGGTATTCCTGGAACATATAATTGCAGAGTTAAAGTGTCTTTTTTTAAAGAAAAAAAGTAAAGGAAAATCTTTATTTTATGAAAGCATTGTCATTTAACTTTTTATAAAATTATTTGATAAGGTTTTATTGGCTTGATACTGTGTTTGAAGAAGTCCACGAATGATTCATAGCAGAACTATTTTCAATTGACAGGCAGTTAGGAGAAACAAAACTTCAAATAAGAAATATGCCCCTTACTGAACCCAGACAGGAGAGGCTGGGATGTTATGTTTTATGTTGAATGGACCAAAGATGGAATTATTTTGTTTTATTGTAATCTTACAGTTTAAATCTAGTTGGCATTTACAATGAACAATTATGATGCTGTGTTAATAATTTACTAGAGCACTTTGAGGAACAATATTTTGACTCCCATTTTTATGGATATTGAATTGTTTGGACATCTTTACTAGCATTTTTCTGAAATGATGGTTCATTGGTCTCTTTCGACAGGAAAGTGAGCATGAAATTATCAAATATTCATTTCTGACAACTGAATGTGATAATGGCAATTAGTTCATACAGATTTTTAGTCTCCTTAACACATGCATTATTTTTTATGCTATTTGATGTTATTCCCTATATGCATATTTCCAATGGAAATTAAATCTGTCAAAAAGCATTTGTAAGTTTACCATGATTCATTTGCAAACTGCTGTTGGCAGATCAAGAAAAAAGTTTGTATTTAAAAATAAAGCTTTTTTAAACTGAAACTCTGCATTGTTCATTTCTCCAGGGTAAACGTGAGTAGGTAGCACTTTTTAAATTTTAAAACACATATAGTTCATATCAAGGTACTTAGCCAAAGTTCCTCATGCACGACACTAAAATAGTTTTGTTATAAAATGCATTATTTACGGTAATAGTTACTGAACATGTTTCAACTGATGATGCCGGACTTCTGTATATTTAATTGTAGGCTACAACTGACATTGTCATCCACGTTTTATAATGTGGTAATCGTAGTAGTTCATTCTTCATTTACTTTTTAAGAAACTTTACATTAACTGTTGAGGGATTTGTTCAACATGGATTGTTGATGGTTGCTATGACTACACATATGACTCAAAAGAGTTAAACAACACCTGAGTCATTCATAGTATATAGTTAATCCGTCATGGCAGATTAACAAGTAATATGAAGACTCTTGTTAACTTCTGAGTGGTATGTGATGTCATTCATGGAGAAAGGAAACCCATTCTTCTTGAGTAGTATTACTTGGATTCTGGGTGGTAAGAGAACTCAATCTGGTGTGTAATGTTTGAATATGTGTAACCAGTACCAACAACTGAAAGTTTACACAAACCAGTATGGGCACTTCATGCTGTGCACTGTTTTGCTTGCAACTCCACACACATACTGTATAATTTCTATCTCTTTGGGATATGTTGGTGCGTGGAGTTTGTTACTGTGCATGGAGTGTTCCTGATACCAGTCCACTGTGATTAAAATATGGGATTTGTCTGTTGAGTCAGAGCTGACAGACCATATGTAACATTCACGAAGATCTGAAGAATGAGTTAGAACCATCACAACTGATTCCATCTAACAGAACACCAAGTTAAGGATTTGGTGGATAGCCATTGGTGAAAGCTAAACACAATATTATGAAAGATACTTCCCCATATATTCAAAATCTAGTTGCTGTGTATATTAAAGAAATCTAATTTGTCCCAATTAGAGAAGAAATGGTAGACATCATGAAAACTGTTATTTGATTTTCTTCCTTTGTTCATATATGGAAGTAAATTCACTATCAGCTGAACTTTTAAATAAGAACGAAAACATTGAATATATTGTTTTCCTTCTGATGTTGGTATGTTTAGGAATAATATTTGAATCTATAAGGATTAAATGTGTTCATATAATGTAAACACTCGTCCATTTCTAATGAACTTCATTTGGTGGCAAGGTTTTTCTCTGTCTATTCATTCATCACATGGATTAACTGGGTAGAGAGTGTGATATCACTACTGGTGAACAACATTGCTGGTAGTGTTGATACTGGTGATACCATTACTTGTGAACAACATAGCTGGTGATATCGTTACTGGTGATAGCATTGCTGGTGAACAACATTGCTGGTGATATCGATTGGTGATGCCATTATTGGTGATCAACATAGCTGGTGATATCGTTATTGGTGAACAACATGGCTGGTGATATCGTTACTGGTGATATCATTGCTGGTGAACAACATTGCTGGTTGTATTTGTAAGTGACCCACATTCCACACAGGTTTAGTAAACAAGGCAGACAGGGACTTTACCTTAGGGGAGTTCAGTCATGGTGGAATTTGATTTATGATAAAAGTACACCTTGAAACTTAGCTTTAGTAGGCATGTGCTTAAACACACAGGATTGTGTGTGGATATAATGGTTGTAATTATTTGATAGTGTAAGTTTTTGCTGGAAGGTAAAAGCAAGGCTTGTAATGTGTTATGAATAACTTGTTGGTAGTATTACCTGTAATTGTGACACAATAACTTTCATTGCCCAGTTGCTCATTTTATGATTGAAATTTTCCCTATAAAGACTTGTTAAAATTATTATTTTCTAACACTCAACTACTGATGGGGATACTGAGATATCCTATACAAAAAGTTAAGAACAATCTAATTTTTCATTTGACTATAGCATTGCAGCACACAACCTTCCAATTGTAGGTGCTTTATCATATTTTGAGTAGTATATTTTTAATATTTAAATATACACATAAGTGACAAGGTTCGATGATTTGATAAACAGTAACAGTTGCTGTTTGTTGTAAATTTGAAAGGTTACTCTGCATTATTGGTAATATTTGTCCAAGTGCACATTGTTTCCCATTGATGTTTGATCTTGTATTGTTCTGTCCATGAACTCTTCTTGGCTTGGACAACCCATCCATCATGAATAAGGGCTTAAGTCACGACAGACATGTGACAGCAGATAGTTTGTTTATTGTCCTTAGTTTGTTGAAATTATCACTATCAACATGATTTCACTGCACACAAACACATCCAAACAAAAGTCTCACCAAAATATTTTTTTACATTGGTTAAAGTGGTATGCACATTTGCTCCGGTGATCTGCTTTGAGATGCATCATTCACACAAACCTTGATGCAGAGGAAGGAACTAGATACATGTACTTAATGTTAATCGGCCATCATTACATGGTCTTACATTCTATATGCGGACTGTCCGCACTTGGACAGGTTGCAGTATGGCCTTGTTGACTGGCTGCCACATGAGTGGGTGTATGTTGCTGCTGTTTGCAAACAGGTGGTTGATAGCAAGAGCAGCACCCCATACAGTTTGAGGGTAAACCGCACACCTTATCACAACCACTTGATCCTGTTTGAGTTTGGTCTTAGGACAAGCATGGTTTATTGATTATCCATCAAGTTAATATTGCATTTGCCTCCTAGATTAAAGTTTTGTATGGAACAATCGGAGTAGCCCTAAACATGTACACACACCTCCAGGGAATTAATAGGTCTTGTAACGAGAAATGATCAAAATGCGTGGAGATAACCCTATGACCATGCGTTACAACCTTTCAGATCCACAAAGGCATTGGTCGCCTTTCACTTGGACAGTGCCTGCAATGTTTGCCCGACAATGTGTGAGTGAGTTTAGTTTTACACCCCTTTCAATGGTATGAAATGGAAATTGTTGTCAGGTTATTAACACAGTTTCAAACCAGATTACTTGCCCAACGAGGCATATCTATAGTGGGATTGTGGATGCACAGTGGTATTCTGCACAAAAAGTCCTAATATATGGTTTTAACTATGCAAACGGAATTTCTTTGCGATGCATTTAGGTCACATGCTTCTTTATGTCTTCCTGTCTTTGGGAATCACTTGATGCCTGCCTTTAAAGAGTAGACGATTGTGTCCTTTCCTCTTCAACCAGATCAACCTGACCACCAATCTCGCTTCTCACTGGGGTTCTTTTGAACTTAAAAGGGAATTGTTTGTTTCTATCCAAATTATATATATTCAGAGACCAAGCGTTAGTCTAAGTTGCCTTTAATGCATGTTGTAAGTACCAGCACAGGTGCATGCTGCTGAAAGAAATGAGACTTTGAAGGAAAGATTGCCTTACCAGCAGCCGCACACTGTGAAGCGACGGTGCGTTGTGACAAGGCAAGGCATCCATCTCCTTCTACATAACCTAACGAAATACTTTCTACTTACGTAAGGTTTCTTTATAACCTGGAACTAATAATACGAATCAAATAGCTCATTCACCGAGGAAGATACGACAGCCAGGAGGCGTTAAATGTATTGCAGCCATCGATTTCTATTTTTAAGTTTCAACTGAGCCTTGAGAAGTATTTAAAATATTTACAAAGGCAGCTGGAATTTTTTTATTTACCGCCGACGTTTTTATCTGTTAGAGGTTAATCCATATTTTGCGTACTTTAGCAACCCATGAGTCAAATCGCCATAACCTTTCTCTAAACAAAGCCAAATCACATGTTTACCTTCTAACTAGTCTGTCATACAGACCCTGAAACAAATATATCCAAAGAAAGCCCACTCAAGTCTAGAAAATGTGGAAAGTCTAGATTTCCACAGCTTCTGAAAATGAAGAAAGTCTCAGGGCTCCATTTCATTATATATATATTTTTTACTATGAACTTTTTTTCTGTAAATATGTTAATTTCAGATTAGTTAGTCTACCTTCTAACCTGTCTTTACTGGAAATTACGTAATATATTTCAACGTGTGTGTTTCTCTCAAATGGTTAATATTTCAAATAATATTAATCAAATAATCTTTACAAATTGGCCCTGTGTGCATGTTAGGTTTGAACGATGCTTACATGCGAAAACATACATATCGCAATCGTGCAGATGTTAGTGCATATCCCAAGATGAAAAGATGTAAGTGAAACTGACCTCAACCTGTGAACGGCAATACCCACACCGTGAGTAGAGGCAGCTAGTGCTCTGGTAGAACTGGTTGACCGAAGTAGTCATGACGTAGCTCAGAGGTACTGGATACTCCCTGGCTATAACGCCAATCAGGTCAGGTAGGCGTTAGGCCGTTTTGGGCAATGTTCCAACAGTGTCGCAAAGATACCAGAAACAGGATTCACGTTTTGCACCCACTGGGAATCGAACTGGTTCTTTGTCGTGACCAAAACCGCATCAACCACGAGGCCACCCCGCTGTCTTGGGACATTTTTAGGAAATGATGTCAGTAAAGAAGAAATCTTCGTCTCTCGTTATAGAGTAATGAGTGGGTAAGTGAGTATGGTTTTACGCCGCTTTTAGCAATATTCCAGCAACATAACGACAGGGGACACCAGAAATGGGCTTCACACATTGTACCCATGTGGGGAATCGAACCCGGGTTGACGAGCGAACACTTTAACCATTTGGCCTACCCACCGCCCATATTGAATAATGAACGTATCCAAGGGTGTCTTAGCAGTTCACGTCTCAGTTTACTGAAAACGGAAGTGTTGAGTGAGTGAGTTTAGTTTTACCCCGTTTTTAGCAATATTCCAGGAATATCACGGCGGGGGCCACCAGAAATTGGCCTCACACATTGTAACCGTGAAGGAAATCGAACAACACTTAATCCGCGAGGCTTACCCACCGCCCCCATTGAATACTGAACATATCCTAGAGGGTCTTAGCAGTTCACGTCTCCGTTTGCTAAACACGACGTGTTGAACTGAAAGGATTGTCTTTTGTACCCCCAAAATGCTAA